AAGAGTTCGTTTTGGAAACAAGCAAGGGCAGTTCTCCTTTTCCCAAAGGGTGGCTCTGAGGTGGCATCAACCCGATGGCCGTGAGTTCACTTTATGGAAGCCCCTGACGTAGAATAAAGTCCACCCGGTGTGGACTAGAGACTGCCCCATCTGACTGAGCGCTCTGATCCTCCCTTTCTTCCCGCTGCTGAGAGCTGTTGTGTGCAGCCCTTGACCGTGGGCTCTCTAGATGGTCATCTCTATTGCTGCTGTCGGATGTTTAAACGTCCCTCTATAACCATGGAAACCCACCTAGGGGTAGAAAGGGGGAACCGATCACAAGGATCTACACATAACCCTGGGTAAAGGGGTAAAGGGAGTCGTTGGTCAGTATAATACTTGACAAAATAATACTAATTTATAAATTATCAAGGGTTGGTGAGGGAGGGGAAAAAGGTGGAGTTGATGTCAAGGGCTCAAGTACAACGAAATTGTTTGGAGAATGATGATGGAAACAAATGTGCTTGACACAAGGGATGTATGTAAGGATTGTGATAAGTTGTACAAGGCCCCAATAAAATGATTTAAATTTTTTTAAAATTCAGAATCTATCTATCAAGGGGGCCACAAGGGTAGGAGGGAAGAGGGAAGGAAATGAGCTGATCCCAAGGGCTCAATAGAAAGTAAATGTCCAGAAAGAACAATGGCAATGCATGTACAAATATGCCTGATACAATCGATGTACAGATTGTAAGGAGTTGTAAGAGCCCCCAATAAAATGATCTTTTGGAGAAAAAAAGAGGAAAGAAAGAAACCCCACCTAATTCTGTTTTCACCAGCTGTCTCCCTCTGAGTACCTGTGGCTCCTGCTGAAGCCGGTGTTCAGTAACCTGTTCACATTTACCTACTGTAGGAACAGGAGCCCCAACTTCCTGATCATGGGGTTTGTCTTTCTGGCTTGAGCCAAACTGTCCTGTGAACCATCAGATGTAGAGCAAGCAGCCCACACTTAGTTGCAAAGGCAACTAAGGCAGGCTTCTCACTAGGTTGTAGAGGTGACCCTCCAGGAGTCAGGACAAAGCTAGAACTGATTCATGGTGACCCCTAGTGGTGCAGAGGAGAACCATTCCTTAGGCAGTTTCCAGTTGTGCTTTCTGAGACCCTTGAGGCAGATATAAGCTGGCCCCCATTGGGCTTGGTCATCGAGCACTTCACTGTGCCTCTGAGCAGACCCTGCCACGTCTTTTTATTTCAATGTTTTATTGTGACTGGGTGACAGTTTTCAGAGCACATGGTTCCCCTTCAACAATTCATACACATTTTGTTTTGCGATTAAAAAATCGCTTGTTGTTGTAAACCATTTCTAGGTTAATTTTTCCCCCAGATTATTTTGTATTCATGTATTTATTTATTTTAGTTTTATTGGCACATAATGCATCTCATATAATTCAACTGTACAATCAATTGTACATTGTACATACAATTCAACCATTCAATCAGAATTATACAATCATTACCACAATCAATTTCAGAACATTTTCTTTTTTGCCTCCATGATTAAATCACCTTAAAATGATTGTGTAATCACATTCAGTTCTAGTGCTCCCTCCCCTCCCCGCCTTCACTGTTTCCTCCACAGGCAGGTCTTAGATGAGATGAAAGTCCTGACCACGAAAATGCTTTTTGAGCTGGTCTTGTACTTTATTCTTGATCATGTGCTCCTTCTGTAATGGGTGATGCTGACCATAGTTTTGGTTTTGCGTCTTGTTTTCTCTCTTCCCTCTTCTTTTGCAGCTTCTTGAATCATCCAGTAATTTGCTTGGAGAATCCTTCACGATTCCAACGTGGGCCTTGAATTTATTTCTTCCTGTCTTTCAGGGACAGTTGTCGAGTGTACTCTTCCCTTTCGGGTTACTCATTTCTTCCAGGCTGACACATTCCATTGTAGTGTCTCTTCTGACACCCACTCGTTCTTTTTCATGCTTTCCTGCCTTATGAATGACATTTTTCTTTCTTCATGTCTGGTATTCTTGATGTCATCTTACAACTCCTCAGTTCATTGGTTATTGGTGTTGAAGGCATGAAAAATTTTTATAAGATGGTCTTAATAGTGGATGGGATGTACTCAGGGGTCCTACTTTCGCTCTCTTACACTTGCTGTCAATTCCAGTCCACAGCGCCCATGGCTTAGAACTGCCCTGCCTGCATCAGGAGGAAAGACTGGCCGTATTTGCACTTTCCTTCGATTGCTGGCTGTCATGATCGAGACTAATTTTTATCAGATACAGAGTTTGTCTTGTCTCTTCAATGTTGTATATTCTGTCTCACCTAACATGCTCCACTTCTTAGGTATTGATTTCTTTAGTAGCCACACAGAACTCAGCAATAAAGTTCATGATTAAGTTGTTAATGAAGTTATCAGATTGCAATGCAGGTGAGAAATGTTCAGGATGAAGTTCTTTCTTCAGTGCATGTCACAGAGTTCTTGGTGGGGGTGGGCAGTTGTTAATAAATGGCAAAATGGGATGCCCTGTAGGATTAAGCCTCAACCTAAAGACATTAGCTTCCAGGTCTCAGGGATCAGTAGACTCAGATCCCCAAATTGAGGACCTCGGACTAGACCCAGTCCCGTGCACATGCTAGCCCCTGCCCCAATGGCCTCAGCGTTACTGTCTGTGTGTCCTGGGGAGCCCAGCACTCTGTGTCCTGCTCCAGCTCCTGCTTCTGGTTCTGCTGCTGCCCCTCCTCCATTCCTCTCATGTCAGAGCTCTCTCTGCGTCAGGAGGTTCATGTTTCTAGACTGGGAAGGCCTAGATGTTCCTCATCTTCTTGGATGTGAACATTTGCCCTTGTTGATAGTGGAAGGGGCCTGTGAAGGACATGAACAATGCAAGCCTGTGTTCTGGGATGTGGGATCAGCATCTGCCTTTTATGCAGATGCCCTCAGAATGGAACATGACCTTGAACCTCTCCAGGTCAAGGTTGAAGAGCCTTACTGAACTGTTTGTGCTTCCATTTCAGGTCCCAGGAGTTGTGAACAGACCTGACCTGTTTCAGGCAAGTGGAGAGCAAAGACGACATTCTTGCTTAGCCCTGGAATCTCGAGTCAGCATTTTAAACCCTTCTGACTCACTGGAGTACACATCATTGACCTTTGTCCAAACTTCCTAGTGGCTCTGCTTCTGCTTCTACTCCTAATCCACTTTGTGAAGTGTGTACTTGACCTCAAGGAGCACATTCAACAAGACATTCAGAAGTTGGAGCTGGGATGGTGAGTCCTTCTGAGAATGGGTGTGTGGTAGCTAAGGGTGGAGTCCGATTGGACTTAGTGTGGTCTGTTTACTGCTGGCCCTGAGGTTTCTCGATGAGGTTAAAAGGTGGCAGAGGAAGCCAAGTGTCTGAGTCCTGAGAGTCATCCTGGGTCCCTTCTCACCTGGTGTGGACCTTTCCTTGGGGCATAAGTGGGATTCCAAGCCTGACCTGAGGGTTACATTCTATATGTGACTCTTATGTGCCCCAAAGTGAGGCGTGATAAGGAGTCGCCATGCCCATCCTGAGTCTTGATTCTCTGTGTATAATGACAGAATTGTGGGAGAACCTGAGCCC